TGGTTCTAAACAGGAGGAATAGGGGTAGTGACACTCCGTATTCTTAATTCGTCACTACACGGACGATTAGTTTCTGAAATCTGTAATTTTTTGAACTACGAGTGGGATTTAAAAAAAAACAATAAAATTAGTATTTATTATTATTGTTGAGTCAGTTGAGGATGTTCGATGTCTTTTTATATTATGAATCTTGTACTAGAGGGTGGAAAAATATTAAAATACACAAAACGACTATTGTAGTACAATGTAGTTTAGTGAGGAACTCGATTGGGGTATAGAGGTTGTGAATATTTAAGAGATATTTCATGTGTTAACGAATTTTACTGGCTCAAGTTATAAAAGGAACTAAAAGAAGTATATATATATAAGTCACATTATACATATGATTTTAGGGATTTGGGCTTTTAGAGATTAATATAAAAAGTGTAAGAGTCATTCTTTAACAAAAAATGTATAATCAACTGTATGTTTTCAACATATTATTTACTATTGTTAATGACTTATGGCATTTGATGATGCGTAACACATTAGTGAGCATGATAAACAAATAGACAATGCTTCTTGGATACGAGTGCGTCGTCTTTCCTCTTTCGTAAAGTTCTCGTCCTTGGCGGTTGCTATGCTATCGTAACTGATAAATTATGCACCGCATATCACTATTACTAGGTGCTATCGCAATTCACAAAAATTCATTAACTAACCCGTCCTCACTTTGTACAGTATAAGTGTTTGTATGTAGGTCAAATTTATGAAAATGCTGTGTGTGTTAGTATTGATTTTATATCATCGAATAAACTGACGATAAAGACGTAAAATATTTTTAGTACCAACATCGGTCGAATTTCATATATAAAAAATATTTGCCATAAAATTTTATTCGTAGTGTCATTTTCATTCATTTTTCATGTTGCCCACAGGAAGGACCTCATTCTACACTTCCAGACGACGAGTTTTACGATGCAGTGGAGACAGGATTCGACAAGATGGAAGAGGAGCGTTGCGCAAGAGTCGTGCCACCGTCAGTGCACACGCGCGATCAGGTGGAATTGCCGCCCCCAGTCATTGATAACCGTCTCACATTGCACCCCCTCTGGCCAGAGGTAAGCGAAACAGCTTATTAGAAGATACTGTTTTATAATTGTATAAAGGTTTATATCATTACAAAACATTATCTTTCTCTCAACAGCAAGCCACTGCTAACTAACTAAACTGCTATTCAATTCAGTGTAGTCTAAGGTTAAACAAAATTTAAGGGGGGGAGCGCGTTGTGAAGCGCGCGCGCCCTTCCGGAAGCACAGAGGGCACATGGGGGTCACATCCCACACAGGGGATCATCTACCCGTCGTAGATGGCCCGAGGTACGTTGGGGCACCAGGGATTTCCTTTCTAGGGTACACCTGGTTCCCCGACTACTGGTACCTGAGACGACGTGCGGTTTTAGTCGGTTTGAGTCCGACATTGCCATCGGTAAGTGGTATCCGAGGGGATTTCCGCACAGAAAAAAAGGTGACTAATCCCTCCCATATGTCCCTTACTGTAACTCCTGTACACCAGGATCAACAGCAATGACCCACGAATATACTGAGCAATGACACTAGGAAAGTCCCAGGAAAAGTTAGTGTCTTAGAAAACCCCCAACGCAATTAATCAGAAGTATATAGGTGGAGTTGGAAATATCCAATCCACTTCGCTCCTTAGTTCTCCTTAGTACATTCTATATAAAAAAAAATCTTACTTTGAGAGTGGATAGTGAAGTGTAATAGATTCCTATATAAATTATTAAAAAAAAACGAATCCGAGTTTCAATGAAATCAAAAAGAATGCCTGCCTGCCCTTCATTGAAACATTGGCATGATTTATATGGTGTAGACCATTTAGACTTTTGACTGGATTTGGGAAACTTTATCCTTTTAAAGATTTAAACATTTTATATAGTGAAGTAAAAAGGTGTTGCCTATCAGCTTTTACCTAATCAATTGGGATGGTTAATTACATAGTAATGGAAATAGCAGCTGCTTGGTGGCTTTAGATAAGTTAGCTTATCACCAGTATTACAAGTCGCGATAGGCTGCATGCTTAAAAGGGGCTCTCTATAGGCTAGAAAGATTGCTCTCATTTTGCTCCTGACCGACAGTTGTACTTAAATATATATGCTCTTTTAAAATGTATACAATACAAAGTTAGTACATCCACATTTGCATAATATAAGATTGATAAAGAGGGTGACGTCCTAATGACCCTATGAGGAAATATTTTTACTGTCTATCACAATGCTTAATGACATAATGATGTAATTTGGTTCAGGGTATTTTTTACTAAAGTTCGGAATTCGGTTTGGAGCTGGACTGTTAAAAAAAATATCAAATTTTGTATTGATCTATTACTTTAGGTTAATCGACGAAACTGATTATGAAAAGAAATGGTTAAGTCTGTCAAACACTCACATGAATTTTAACAGCCGCTAATTGAAAAATATGCTCACAAATCTGTAATTTGTACACGTATTTTAAATAAACGTGGAGCTGGTATATATAAATATGATAGGTGTGCATGTTTAATAGCTAACCCAAGATCATTTGTTAAACATAGAACTTGTAATTTATTATAGACAAGGCATTGTTAGGAGTGACTAAATGTTCTATATCTCAGTAAACGTTGTTAAACGTACCCGCCGTACTTACTTGTTACTTTTAGGTAACAAATTGCGTTTTTGATAATTAAATCCTATTTACAGATTGATAGGATATCAACGGAGCAGATCCAAGCGGCATTCGAAGGTGTCGGTGGTGAAATAGGCTGGCAACTATTCGCTGAGGAAGGGGACATGAGGATGTATAGAAGGTGAAAACTATTTTTGATTATATTTAACTTGCACCGTGTACTCTTTTCTTAAGTCAGAGTTGAAATATTTAATATGAAGGATAGAGGTCAAGAAAACTGATTCATTAGTGCCACAAACAGTAGTTTATAAAGATGGCTTGACGTAAAATGAAGTTATTGATTCCATTCCGTTTATCTAATACATAATTTTTTTTTTTGATTTACAGAGTCAGTTCTCATTATCTTCTAGATGCTAGATGATAGAGATATTATATTATATCTTAAAAAAAAACTTTAATATAATTAATAGTAGAATTATGCTGTTAGTCAATGTCAAATTGTAGCTTAGATTTGTAATTGGTTTTAGGACTATAAATATTTTTATTTACAGAGAGATGGAGGTGGACGGCATGGTGACAGATCCTCTGAAGGCAATGCACAAAGTGCGGGGAGTGACTGCGCGCGAAATGTGCCATTACTTCTTCAACCCGCGATACAGATACGAGTGGGAAAGTGAGTAATAAAAATTCCCTAATGTACTAATATATTTCAGTCTGAAATATTGATATTCTCATAAGTTTGTAGACCAGGTATTAGTGTTTTAATTCACAAGTAATTAAAAACGTTTTGAAAAATGATTTATTCTGCTTGCGTATGAAAACAACATGTAAATAGTTGACTAATGAGTATGCGATATGAACAAAAAAACATTATAATTTATATGTTTTATATTTATTATTATTATTATATTTTATATTTATTTATATTAATTTAGTATATACGAGGGAGTCTGAAAGTAGCGCCATTAGATGAAAAGTTAAGAAGTAATAGGTTATCTTGGTATGGACATGTCATGCGGAGGAATGAGGCAAAGAAAGTGTTAGGTATTGGAGTTGAAGGGTACAAGAGAAGAGGAAGACCAAAGAAAAGGTAGATGGACTGTGTGAGTGAGGATATGGCTAGGAAGTGAGTAAAAGTGTGAGAAGAATCATACATACTGCGACGACCCCAAATAAAATTGTGATAAGGGTGGGCAGATGATGAATTTAAAATAATATTAAAGTATGTTGTGCGGAGCACTACAGCAAATAGTAGTAGGAATATTAATTATTTACCGTTCTGCGCCCGTACGCTTAGATAATGTAATATATATAAATAATATCTTTGCTGTTAATTTTTTGTTTCTTAATTTTTAACAACTTCGTTTGATGTAGCATCTGTTGCATTTTTTACAACTGTCAGTGGTCTATTACTTCTTAACTTTTCATCCAGTGGCGCTACTTTCAGACTCCCTCGTATATACTCATTCCTAACCTTGTCCATCTGAGTCACACCACACATTCCATCTCAGCATTCGCATTTCGGCTACGTTCAGGCGTCTCTCATCCGTTCTCTTAATGGGCCAACTTTCAGAACCATACAGTACGGCAGGTCTGATAATGGTTTTATAAATTTGTCCCTTCAGTTTTAAGGGGAAACTGGGGTCACAAGTTGTTCCCGTTACCTGCCGCCACTTCATCCATCCCGTATTGATTCGATGCTGTACAGTTCGATCAATCTCACCATCACATTGTAACAGGGAGCCGAGGTACTTGAAATTGGAGCAGACTGTTATCGCTATCCCATCCAGCGAAATGGTTTCAGGACTGGAGAGACCGCCGAAATCGCAGAACATGTACTCAGTTTTGGTTCTGCTGATTTTCAAGCCAACATTCTCCAGCCTTTGTTGCCATTTTTCCAGTCTGCCAAATGAACTATTATAACCAATAATTGTAAATTGCTTTGTAATATATTAAATAAATTAAAAATATCAAGATAAAAAAGTATTTTACGCGTAAATCACTACATTTTACGTTCAGAAACTGACGATAGCGTAAGGGGTTAACTTGTGACCTGGTGATAGCGGATAAAATCCGAAGTAACACTAGCAAAGTGAATACATTTTTTAGCACAGGCAAGTTTCGCAGACATTGCAAACATAGTTGTACTTAGTCGATGAAATGTAAATGAAAGCTCGGGTTGACAATTGATTATAAATTATAATTCTCACCAGAGTCCGATGATAACGATAATCTGGGCCGTTGACACGTCTGGGTTACAAGACGTTGTATAAAATAAGATAAGATAATATGTATTTATGTAGATGCTGAGAAATGTTAGTAATTTATGTACTTGGAAATATCTGTAGGTTTCAACCAGATCCAATGAATGATTTGAGTTTTAAATATCGCGTCTGCGGAGTCCCAAAAAGCACTCTAATTCTGGTAAGATAAACCGAGGTAGGCTCTAATTAAAAAATAAAATGGAACAGTGAGTGTATGGCATAGGCAGAACTACGAATAGTTTTGCTACGTGTGTCTTTATGTTTGCAATTCAGAAAGCGTTGTTGAGCCTGCATTTTTTATTGCCTTATCCTTATATTTTATTTGAAGATTTTCCTGATTAGTCTTCTATTATTTTCAAGTTTATTCACATAACTGGTCAACATCTAGCAGACCTTGTTTTGGAATTAGATTCCAACATATCTACACGTTAATTTAAAACTCAGGCTGGCCTCCTTTGGGAATGTGTGTTTTTCACATCCCAATAAAAATATAAAAGGTATTTCACCCCATGCTCCAGACACGTGCTTTCTTAGGTTAGTCACACATAATGGACCTTTAATGAAGGCGGTCGTTAGAACACCCTTACGTATGTCAATAAAGGTCAAAATTGTGAACTAGTTAACCGATTAAAGGTTTTGAGGACGGTTGTTTACTGGCTTTTAGTTTAGACATGAAAGTTCAACATAGTTAAAGTTGGTGAATCGGAACATGTTATTGGCATATTGTCTAACTACCTATAACTTAAACTTTGTGACGAATATCGTTGGAGAGCTTTGCTTTGACACAAATAGGCCGACACAAACGGGTGTTAAGCAAAGTTTTCGTTATTTTTAATCTAGCACTAATCTGTGTATATTTTGGTAAAATGGTCAGTCAATTAGTGTCCTTGTCGTAGTGGCGTTTCCTAGCACAGGACTGACTTCGGGTACGTGACCCTCATTGACTACTCAGTCTATCTAAGTCTTGCGGTTGCTCTAATCTAGATCACTCGTTTTATTGGTTTTCCTCATCCCACTTAGTCTTCTTTCTGAGTTCCATCTGAAAACGATTTAATTCCCAAAGAAAGTTGAAACTAGCTACAAAAGAAATCAAACCACAAATAAAGTCGTGAGAAATGCAGGAAATTATAACAAATAAGTTAAATACGAATGAAATAGAAAACCTTTCAAACAAAATCAAACTTTGGCTCTCATACATTATTTTCCAATTTCATACATAGCATAGTTTTTATAAATTTTTACTAGCTAGCAAAGCTTCGTCTGCTTCTCTTACGAGTATAAGGGATAAATTTTGCCCGTTTTCGTAACATTTTGCATAAATACCGGCTCCTATGGGTCGTAGTATGCTGTTATATAGCCAGTATCCTTTTTTTAGAATTTTTCAAAATCAACCCATGGTTTCTGTGATCCAAACTCGCACATTATAATATTAGTATCGATCTCTCTGTCTTCTGTCTCACTCACTCACAAATTTTTCATATTATGAGATTTAGAAATAATAAGGTTCAATTTTTTTTCTTTTCTTTAAACCTTGTTCTAACAATAATGAACGAAAAAACAAATTTATCCAATTTGGCGCAGTACTAGTGAAGTTATGCGCGTACATACATTTCGGTAATTCATTTTTATTTACATAAATTTGATAACCCGTCTGGCCAGCGTGGTATAGTAGGCCAAAACTTTCTAAGGAAACCCCTATGTCTAGCAGTGGACTATTAAAGGCTGTTGAAGTGATTTGACTATTCATTTGGGAAGATGAACTTAATAAACACGCATAGTACAAAAATATAAATAATTGATTTGATCTTTTTCGACACTCAAGCGCACGATTTTCCACTTGTGTGAGTTGCATGCGTTTCATTTTAGATTTGAGTAACAAATGTTTTTAGGTTTAACATACTTAATTTTGTGGTGCTGATATCGTCGACTAACTGACTTATTTGTATCTTCCAGCAACGTTAGAAACTATGACAATAGTTGAGGAGATATCGTCGGACGCACTGGTATTCCATCAAACGTTCAAGCGCATCTGGCCTGCCTCACAGCGGGATGCTCTGTTCTGGTCCCACGTGCGTCAGAGTAGCGAAAACGCATACGCTACTACAAATCATTCCACTACAAATGTTGAATACCCGGTTAGTAACTACTATGTGTCTTTATGTTATTATTAATTAGTCTGTGTGGTGACAGATTAAGAATACAGAGTGTCACAACCCCTATTCATCCCGTGGGTGTCATAAGAGCCGACTAAGGGAACAAACTCTGCAGGACAAACTCTGCAGTGGACTACTAAAGGCTGTTGTGTGTGTGTTTATGTTATTATATAAAAGCTCAAATGTTACAAGACCTACTTAAATATAAAATGTTTAGTAGCAATCTGTTGCAACAAACACGCATGTCTTACTTACGATAACGATGTCTTACATTTGACTGGTGATTGAATATTGATGCATATCTAGTAGATCAATACATACTATACATGTTAAAACGAGAAGATGAGGCATACATTTTTGCCACTTTTTAACTCTGTAATTTTATCTATTTTAACATCTGAAACATGCAGTTCATAATACTACTAACTGCTAAAATGGTAGGCGAGCACGCCACAAGCTATGATGACCGCTGACCACTAGAATAGTAATTTTCTACTTCCATTGTTTAAATATAATAATCTATTGCATCATACTGCAACCATTATTAGCTAAAGTTGGCAGGAAATGTGGCGAAACAACACCTGCAACAATATAATTTCTGACAAATAAACAATATATTTTGTTAATTACAGGCTAATACCGGCGCATGTATCCGTTTGTTCGTGACCGTGTGCCTGGCGTGCCGCACTACATACCCTGCTGGCGAGCAGCCTACCAGAGATAATGTCACAACCAGCATTGCTTACTGCAGTACAGGTTGGTTTCTACAACATTATTCGCTTGCATTAAGTATTTTTATACGACGAGCCTGTTATAGTGGTTAGTGACCCTGACTGCTAAGCCGGAGGTCGTGGGTTCGATCCCACCTAGGACAAATGATTGTGTGATGAGGACGATCACACACGACAGTTAAGTATATTTAACCCTTTTATGTCTATCTTTGCAGTGAATCCAGGTGGCTGGGCTCCTGCGGGCGTACTCAGAGCCGTCTACAAGCGAGAGTACCCTAAATTTCTTAAGCGATTTACCAGCTATGTGGTAGAACAATGCAAGGGCAAACCTATCGCCATCTAGCGACGCGTTTACAAACCAGAGGTGTCTGCATGAGCTCTCACATGCCTAGAGGGCGCCACCTCGACGTGAGTCAGGTGATAAATGTTTATTTACTATAGGCACCATTTCGTGTTATACGGCACCCGGTACATGTTTTACATGTGATTATGTCGAATGGTTAGATCTCTGTCTTTATCTGAGAAACGAGGACACGTGCCGTTACTAGATGTATAAATAGGTGTTATGTAATCTAAAGGTTTTATTCAGGGTGATGCTAAGGATTCCTGTTTCATTATATTCTACAATAAGTTGTATTTTCTTCGCGATCTCTGTCCGCTGGCTCTTTCGTTACGTGAAAAGTATATAAGGGTGGTAATAATCTATGTGAATATTATAAATGTCAAATAAATATAATAATATGTTTAACAGTGGATCTGTATGAAGGGATGGTCTTACAGTGTCTTAGTTTATTAATTGTAGGTATTTATTATTTATGTTTGACTGGTCAATAATTCATAACTATGTATTATAAATGAACAAATTTATCCAAATAAAATTACTTTATATTCAAATTGTTTGTTGTGTTTGTGTCAATAGTGGAGTAGGTTAAAGTATCATTAATTGGAGTAACTTGACAGGTTTAGTAAAGAATGAAACATTACGGATTAGAAACTTGTAGATTAAAAATATATTTTTCAGGGTTTGTAACAATGTTCGATTGTTCTTTTATACCTTATCTACCTGTCTGTCTACTGCTTATGCATGTATGTATGTATGAATTTAGAATATAAATATTATAAAATATATAAAAATGAATGTTAGTGTTGGTAAAAAAAAAATTTGGAGTTTACAGTATAAAAAGATTTTAATCTACTACATGGCAATAAGTCCGCCTATGTATCAGATGTGTAAATAAACACAATTTTTTCCGTTCCAAGATTCGTGTTGTCAGTAGAATAAAAAAATTAGGAAATTTATTGCTGGTATGTATCATAAACCATCTGATGTACCTAGTGGTAAAGTGTTATCAATATACTATGGTTATAGTTCCAAATAGAAATCATACTATAGCAGGTACAATTTATTTGGACCTTGTGTGGTTATCGAGTACTGACTATACAAGCTGTAGCCTGTATAGTTAGGAAAATTGCCTTTGTAAATAAAGTAGTAATTGGCATCGGATTGTCATTCGTGTATTCAACTTAGGAACCTCATTGTGTGGTATATATGACGAAGAAAGTGTAAAAATTGTAATATGGAGCGTTGTTTGTACCTGAACTTACTTAAAATACACGCCGCTTTTGATTTACAATCGCTGATCGTCTTAGACGGTCATGTTGGTTTTGTAATGTATCTAGTACTTACCTTCGAGAGAGATAATTTGGGTAAGAATTTTATAAAGTAAAAAGTCGATACTAGGCTGTTGTGTTCACGAAGTACACTTGCTCCAAACTAAGGAAACGCGATAGTGCTTTATATCGAAAAATCGAGTAAGGTGTATGGCTTTTTAACAATCGAAGCTCATCCTCAGATTTAATTTCTATGAATGCTACCAAAAAAAAAATTCGTAAATATATCAAATGTCGCCTTTTGACCAAATAATTTTCAGGTTTTTTGTTATTCTTCGACATTCTTCGTGCACTTCGAAATTTTTTTGCTTATTTTAATTGGATTTTACTAATTTTAATTAAATAATAGTGCATTTTATTATTTTCTTTGGAGATTGTACAGCGTTTAATGTGTTTGAGTTTTGTATAAACTGTACTAGGATTTATTTGGCCAAAGAACATGATTTATCAAATTTTTAAGTGGTGAATTCCTAAGTTTGTTAATTTGTCTTTCAGATGTACCTTGTAGTTTTTTATAGGTTTTAAATTTGACGATACATAATGGTCTTGGTTTATGAATTGCCAAATTGTTTTAAAGAATCTATGTTCAATCTCTCTTGTGCAAATGCGTTTATAACATAATGCACATAAATATGTATATTGAGAGAGTACCTGCCTGCTTTACTGAGGATATTATTTTGATAAATCTTACTTCTACGAAACATACTCCATTCCAGACTTTTAACATTAACTGATTTTGTATACATTTTAAATTAGATATATTTAACCGTGGTTATAATGTAACTTCAGATTTCTAATATTGTACAGAACTTCACATAATTGTCTAAAAGTAATATGTTATTTGATGTTAGTATATTGTAATAGTTTCTGTAATGTTCGAATGCGTGCCAATCGTATATTTGTATACATGCTCTATGGGTGATATAAAAAGAGAATTAAAATGTTAATATATATTTGAACTTTCTGTACATAGTTCTTGTTCTCTGAATATTCGAACTCGAATTCTAATATCAAATATATTTTAATTTTCGAATTTTAAGTATTTAAAAGAACTAATAATAATATACTCATGAGCATGTGTACAGATAAACTTTACAATGAAGAAGTACGGATATTTTTGTTAAAAAAAAAGTGTGGTGAAGGTAACCATCAAAGCGAAAGCGAGCAGAGTGTGAAGATATTGCATTTATAATATCGCAATGTTGCAATTGTATTAAGTTATATAAAGTGTTTTTTTTTTAATAATTATTGTTTTTAATAAAATGTTTTATCAATATATAGTTGTTTATTTTTATCATTTCATGTAGTAATTGCATTCTAGTTCTTATAACATGTTCATTTTTGAATCATTCACAACTTCATTTACAACATTTTTTACGACTTCTCGGTCATTTTGTGTGCGTTTCGATTGCTCCGCCGCGGTATCGAAACAGAAAAAAACTTCGCCAAAAATTTGTTGAGATTTTTGAAAATCGAAGGGACCAAACCAAAAATTTGTCATAGTAGAAATAAAGGATTGAAGGATTTTTGACCTAATATTGAGGAACAAGTTATTTTGGCTATAAATTAGATCCTGGATGGATGGATGTCTGTGTAATCTGTCTGGACATAGTTTTTGAAAGCATTTTAATTGAAAAAAAAAAACTAGGTTTGCCCTCCACTTGTGTGAAGTGTTTATTCAATTTATTCATGTACATTAACATTAATTAATTGGTACTTATACAGTTATGCATAGCACACACATGTCTCCGCATATAAAATTCACAACAATGTAACTATGTATTCTGCACATTTAAATATGGGGACCAGCCCCCGATATCATTAAAGTTATTTCTTAAAACACCTTATAATTAAACTCAACAGTAACAGAAATCATTGGATTAGGTCTTGCTTTATTTAAATTAACTACATTATAAAACCGCAGATAAAAACGGCGAAACCATTAACATTGGTGAAATTCTCAATTTTAACAAAAAAAAAAAAAAAATTGAGCTAACTATAAAAAAAAATTGTTCGTTAGAATTTGTTAGTACACGAAAAAAATACATTTTGGTTTCAATATTATACTTATACCATGATATATGAGATTGAACACCGCGACCTAACCGATACAGTGCAATTGAAGTATGTTCACAATTAGGTATAAAGTTGACGATTATCTATTGAAATATGTATGTTTACGCATAACATTAGACCGCTTTGTATTGACATTGAGCACGAGGAAGCGTATTTATGATCTTAATTACATAGGCGTAGCTAATAGAGGAGGGAAATAAATTTTAATTTACAAGTATATATATGTGAACGCTCTCATAATTAATAGACGTGCATACTACTTAATAGATTTAGCTTTAATATGTTAGTAAACATTCATTATAAAAATGTATATATAATATAGTAAACTTCTTATATTTGACTAGCGATTCGGCCTTGTTTGGGTGCAATTTAAACGTGGTATGATAGCAAAAATGGCTATGACACTGGGCAATAACGTAGCACGATATTAGTGAAAGAAGCTTTAAAATCAGTAGCTTCTTTTACATATGACAGATACCTGAGACATCCATATACTTTATCTCTAAACGATTCATGGTATTAGGTAAAAATATATATTTAAATTGATTGATTGCTTCTGTAGGCAATGTAATAAGAATATTAGGTCGAGTAGAGCTAACTTTCCATAACAATATATTCGGATTCAAAAACTAATTAAAATTACGTAATTAAAAAAATCATGTCCAACTTAATTGTAAATACAGACAACTGAATAACTGTTGCCGGGTAGTAGTGTCATACTCTGAGAATCATAGTTTTAGAAGGATTTTTTATTACTATAGGTAGGCAACTTTTTTTTTTAAATTAAGAAATAAATAGAGACTGCAGAGAAACGATCCATGTGGCATTTACAATTTTGTCTATGGCGCTCTGGCACGGATAGCAATTAAAGACAACACAGAGCAATTTCACTTAAACCTAACACACACTAGACAGAATAAGTTAATTTATCCTCTGATTATGCGATAAATATTTGAACAGTAATAATTTAGTTATATATTTTGGTGCAACAATCTTTTTAGTAGACCGTACCTTTCACAAAATATAATTCTTTCCACCCCATCGTACACACATCGAGCCGTAGCTACGCCTATGTTTAATTGCATTATTAAGTAATTACAGTACTTAAATACCAGCGTCATATAGACGAATACATCATAATTGCTATTACATATACAATATACGTTAGACCTTATTCGAATACAATAAATTACATTTTAAAGAAATATTCAAGTGTTCTAATATATCTATTAATAAATAACATTAACATTTATAAGTATAAACTGTTATAAAATATTCCCCAGGAATGAAACAAAAATGTCTACGTAGAAACTGTTTGTATAACAGTTGTTTATAAAATCATTCGAAAAATTTTGGAATTTTGATATGATTGAGGCCGAAAATGCGCACTACAAAAAGTTTTTTTTTATAAAAATAGGAATTATTTGAAAGCTCAAGTGTATACATGGACCAATTTTTATAGTACAATGAGAATAATTCTACCAGTTTTAACGCGATACTAAAAAATAATATTTAGGGCACTAAAGATGTTCAAGGGGGTTTATCTACGACTTGAAATTGTTATTATTAGATTTCAGATCAAAATCTGTTTCACAAAATACACAGCATATTTAAAATAAAACCAAGACACAGAATTATTAAGAAAATTGATGAAACATATCTTTAGAGCCTTCTTTAAACCAGTCGATTTAAATACAGGATTCAGTAGGCGAGGAAGTAGCCTCAACAGAAATTGGCCTCTGGTGGATTAAGGATTTAATACTGTGCTATATGAGTATTTCACTACCTTCTCTTTCTTACTCTTTTTGCCCTATTCATCTTAAGCATTCCTTGCTCTCGCTCCGTTTGTTTTATTTTTTTCAATTTTCAAGTTTAAACTGTATCTCGTTTTTATTGAACAACAATTGGAAATGCCCTTATTCGCTAAGAAGCATAAAATCGATAATGTAACTAAATGGTTTGGTGATTATATTGTCATGGGATGCAGTGAGAAGAAATGGTGAACACCGCTAAATGAATGAAACATGGCCAATCGTTAATATGGCACTTGTATCACGGACAATGTAATAAATAATTATTATTTATGTAAAGAACTAAGATATCTACCCGTTTATATGGCAACTTGAATACCACATTTAGTAAAATATGCCAATTTCCTAATGACTTCCCTTCCACAAATGGCAAGTAATACACATTTTTTTGGCATAAATTGAAATAACATATACTTAATACGTGACAAAGAGGAATAATAGTACAGTAGGCAAATATGTATATAATTATAAAGATACTTTTAATATGTCTTTAAAACTATGGCTTACATTTCCACATAACATACAATGCCAAATAAAATCATGCCATCTGTGGACATTTAAGATAATAATAAAAATCCATCGATACATTAATATAGTAAATATTTTGATTCAATATCTAATAAATACAACTACTTAAAAAAGTAGATATCAACAATTATAATTTCAATGATACCCATACTAACACGGATATAATAAGTATAAAATAAGCGTATTATCGGACACATCCGTCAGGCATCGTGTGCCAATGATCCGTTTCAGACTTATTACGTTGACATGAAAACTCCAGGCGCTCACGAAACCATTCCTTCATTTAAAAGCAAATACAATAATCTCTCGAAATCTGTGCTCAAATCGACTAAGCACTGTCAAGTGCCATCATCAACTCGGTTGCTCCAGAAGTGACTCCCTTGTAGTAAAGAAATCTGAGTAGCCAAAATATTACCGCTTACAGATGGATACAACACCTTTCCGGATACAAAACTTCTCCATCCGTGACTGAAATAACTACCTTTATTGTAAAGGTCTCCTGTATCATCTTATCACTTAAGTAGCGTCCATTCCGTGGCTCAATATTCGAAGGTCCTTGAAGGATTACCTCATATCCAATTTTACCCTTACTCCTCCGTAGTGGTGTTAGCGGTATTATTTGGCGGTTGTGTTAGGCGCGGCGCATGAACGACGGAGTGTCGCTGAGCCCTTTTGACGTCATCCAGGGTAGTGACGCCGGCTTCGTCGAGTTCCTTCCATCGAGCAAGATTGTTGTGAGCGTGGTTCACAAGCTCTGGCATGTCGATGAAAGCTGGAATGTATGTCGAGCGTTAAATTTATTTTTTTGTCATAGATGGGTGTCTACGGTTAAGTAACTTTACTCTTTTCCAAGATCCTAACTTGACCATAACTAAAGTTAACCTTAGCTGAAAAATATATCGAACAAAAAGTAATGATTTCATCAATAGAACTTACTAGAAAAATCTTACGATAAACACCCATTCCGTAATTTATCTTTAGCTTATGGGCTGATTTCTTATAAGGGAAAAATAAATGTATACTCTACACAAACTCGTACTACTTTAAAACACAAAAAAAGTTTGACTAATGATCTTATCGAGGGAAGGCATCATAGCCTCAAAACTCAGTTTTTATAAGCAAACGAAACTAGATATAAGGTCATTTTTGATCATCGGCCAATTTGATAGAAATAATTGGAAGTAGTCATTATTTTACTGTATAAGTTTGTACCCGGGTAGTACACACAGGCTTTAAACCGAATCACAGTAAACCAAAACTAATACAATTAATCTGATATATAAAAAGAATACTTCTTAAACTGAATCTAACCTTAATCGAATAAAGGAACAAAAATACGTTAACACAAATTTTAGTAGTAGTAGATTTAAGTGTTAAAGAAAAAAACACGTCTCTTCATATTAAGTAAAGTAAAATACTCTATTACCATAGTATAAGAATATTGCTTACCAGACCAGGCTTCCATCATGTCCATAATAATGAAATCGATAAACCCAATCTGTGAACGCGGAATTGAGCAAGTGGCGCGGTCGAACATTGGCATTACTACCGGCAACTCCTTTGCTTTCTCTTCATCTGTTTGTAGGAAGTATTCTTCCGCAATCCTAGAAATACAAAGTAATTTGGTTAAAAAGCCCAATCATTAAATTATTTATGTACCTGTCTCTTGTTTAGATTTGTTTTTTTTTTGGTTGTTTGTTCTTTACTTAGATGTTTTTTAGTTGGTAACTTTCATAGGAAGCAGCAAAATGCAAGTGCGTCTAGTGTTAACGACGACTTTCTGTTTTACTTACATACCGCATGTTAAATAAGTCAGATGAGGTTGTAACAATGAACAGATTGTAACTGAAGTGAATACATACTGTTTATTTACGAGGCTTTTGCTTTCCTTCTACTTGAACTGAATGTTAAGGATAGGGATTCCTAAACTATTTTGAGCAAGAGATTTTCTAAAATGAACTGATAGCCAAATTACTTGAGCTAAATTGAGCTTTTTTAAAAGTACCACAATGATACTTCCTAATTAAATATTGGTCTTCCACGGTCGTCGGTATACGTAAAACCACTAATTCAGTATCTTGAAAGTTTCAAATAAGAACTTGTGTTAATTCGATGGGGGTCGATTTTTAGACCTCGTCGACCGTCAAAATCAGTTTTCGTGTATGTCAAACTCTGGGAAATCAGATTTTGACCGATATTGACCACTTTGGGACCACATCCCTGGTTTAAGACTTACCTCCTAGCCCATTCGAATGCAAACTTTTGAGGTCGGGACGCATTGGAAACATCGGCGCACTTAATCATCATCCTTTTTACTAAGATGACATTTTCTGGCAATGAGAGTGCGGTCGTATCCAGCGCATATGGTTCCTAAAAGTATTAAAACAAATCTTTAAACTTTTTCCACCTTAGAATATGTAATATCAAAAAAAATATTTCTTCTTGTTTTATATTAAGTGTTTGCTACGAATTACTGTTGTCTTATCATGGATATGAGAGAAGGAAAGCTTGACACAAAAACCCTTTTTTTTACGCGTGGAAACCCCCTCGGGCCGTCACCCCACCGGGGTTTACGGCGGGGTGGTGTGTCGGAATCGGACCTATTAAAACCACACGGTGTGCCACTCTGCGCCTGTAATAGGAGGGATCCGGGAACAGCTGCTATTAAAACATCCGGACCTTCCTAGCGCCTGCCCGCAATCGCACGGACATTCTCTATTTAAGCGACGTCCGGCACACGCGGACGTGGCTTAAATAGAGAATGTAAGTAGGTCAAAACCCTCCTTTCTAAGGAGAGGCCTATATCCAGCAGTGGACTGTTAGAGAATGTTGATGATGATGATGATTACGGATATGTAAAGATTCTCTTACGTCGGTGTGCATGCCGTCGTCTTTGCTGCCGTTTGACTTTGCATAGAAGACATTGACGAACTTGGCGAGATGCTCAAAGTGCTTGGTCATTTCCGTGGCCAGGATCATGTCGATAACGTTGTGACGTACTTGTTTATATGTTTCACGATCGAGATTCTTGAATATGTTCACTCTGTCGTCTTCTGCGGAAATTTGTAGGTCGAATTTAGTACATTTATAATACAGTATATTTATAGCTGTTTTTTTACATAGGTTACAGGAAGAAGTGAGCAGGGACCAATTACAGTTTTTTTTTTTTTTTATTTATTTTTATTTATAAATTTACACACACAAACTTACTATCTTACTATTTTATTATTTTGATAATAATTATAATAACTTTGAAGGTTAGATATGTAAACTGAATAGTTTACTAACTTAGGGTCAGCTTAAATGTGAGTGCAGCGTGGTGTGATTCAAGTACGCAAACGTCGTTATAGAGCACAGCGAGGGGATGACGCGCATTGCACAAGAACGCTGATGAAGTTCCAGGGTGGTCTACGTCATGGGCTGCAGCTGCTATTAGTGCTGCGGCAGCTTCAAGTGGCTCCAGGAATGTCTTCAGTCGATCCTTCTCCAGGAAGTATCCTACTGCCTGTTAATCGTATTTAGTAATATTAATTAGCAAATAAATATGGGAAATATTTATAGGATATAAATTCATACATATAACATGTTAAGTGTCTAAAAGTCATAATTACAGTTAGTCATAAACGTAAAGCACATGTATTTTTGATAAGTGAATAATAAATCAAGGAACTTTAATAATAATAGTATTTTTTTTAATAATATTTGGACATCTGACACACAACGCCGTCTAGTTTCAAACTAAGCAGAGCTTGTACTATCAAAGCTAGATTGACTGATAGAATCTTATATACTGTTTTTTTTGTAAATAAATACATATTATACATACAAAACAACCAAACTCCGAAACAAATACTTGTAGATTATACAAACATTTGGTCCGACCCGGGAATCGAACCCGAGACTTCAGCACAGCGATCTCATACGCTACAACTCCATCAAACGTCTTTACTAAAACAAATACCTGTAGCACATCGGCCGCATGTGTAGAATTATGATACGTATTGACAGCGTGGTAGTTAGTTTCAATTATGGTAAGCCAGTGAAGAAGTGTTCTCTCGTCGCATTCAAGAGTTGCGCATACGTCAAAGCGACCGCCCATAAGCGCAAGACCCAGGTGAGCGAGAGGTCGATTGCGGGTCATTTCCTCGAGACGGAAAATCTCGAAATCCCAGCTCAGAGCTGTGTCGAGAAGCTCTCGGACTTGGCCAGATGTCTGAAAACATTTAAAAAATATCAATACTCGTATACTTTAGAAAAAAATACACGCTCTCCCTTTTACTTTCTCTCAGAGTGATCTCTTGACAAGTGCATGTGTGTTACAAGTATAGACAAAACTAAAAAGTCAGTACTATAAACAGTATTATAGACATTGTCGAAAAATATGACTTCTGTGTCGATATTATTTTAATATTCCAGAAGACGCTTATGGCTTCATCCCAATACATACTTAATACAACAAAGATATATTATGTAGCTGCCAGGTATTCACGTCTGAAGTAAATTATTGAAGTGTGAACGGTTTACAAAGATTATAGCTGCGAGGACATGAAATGAAGGCAACAAAAGGGAACCAAGTATACTCAAAAGTATGTATGCATGTGGGAGTTATCAGCTTACCTTGTGCTTAATATTAGTTCTATTTGTTTGTCCTCGGACGACGGTCGAATCGTTGCTGCTTCGCCGCGAGGATAGGACGTTGGTAGGTCCTTGCTGTAATTAAATATAAGAAGTTTAATTTTCTATTAATTTTACTTTACTTCCGATATTTTACTATTTAATTGAAAAAAATCTATTACTTTTTAAATTGAACCAATATATTTGGTATTAAGATTCTCCACGTTCAAAAACATGCTCTAATAAGAATTTAATTATTTAGAATTGTAATCAGCAACTGAACATGCCTGAAATTTATAAAACAAGTTTTTTTACGTTACAACTAATTCAGTAATATAAAATTGTTGCAGTTTTTAATATTAAACTTTATAGGATTATTAGTTAGTTATGCTGTCAATAGAAATGTGAAATTCTATTAGTTTGTTAGTAAATTCAAATATCTCAAAAAAAAAACGGAAAATATGCTAATTGTAATACGTATAAAGTGTTAGAGTAAACAGATTATTGGAAATGTTGTTAAAAAAATAAGACGATCACAATATAGTAGAACATACGAAGATGCTTTACGTAGAGTTGAGCCTAAGACAGAAATACAATACATAGGGCTCATCTTATGTTCATTATTATGAAAGTATTATATGTATGTTAAAAGCACACCATTGGTTTGAGGAGATTCAGAGAGTACATTCTAAGTATTAGCGTTACAAATACTAACATCTTCGGATTTGGATCAGAAATTTCACACTTTTGATGCCATTAAAAACTTTTCCACATTCACGATACGAAAAATTTAATAACTTCAAATGATCAATTTAAAATAAATAGAGTTTTTTTTAATGTGACATTCCTCACACACCCACTATGGTAACTCTTGTACACCAGGATCAACAGCAGTGACCCCCAACGCATCGATTTATGACACTAATCGGACAGTTCCAGGAAATAGTATCAGAAGTATATTGGAGGAGTATAGGTAAATATATATACATAAATATAAAGATTTCTAATAAACTTAAAAAGAAAAAAGTCATTTTAACTTTCTGTAAATACACTTATTTACCATATAAAAACTTGAAAGAAAATACCCATACTATTTTGTCCCCTGTATTTACATTTTATAAAGTAAGCAACTGAAATTGCAGACTATGGAACGGACGTCACTAAGTAAATATTGACAAAATAATCCATGAGTCCTTAATTGGGCAACTTTACTTTAAATACATAATAAAATATATGTGTAAATCTCACACAAAATGAGCCCCGTGTAATGATAGGCGTAAGCATGAACCACAAAGATCTAATACTATCAAGTGGTCTATGTGTTGGAAGGTATAGACATAGATAGACGTTTTAATTCCAAATCTCCTACCATAAAAATAAGGTTTGCGTTCGCTTGCTCCCTCTTTCCCAGGCCGAACAGGATCGTAAACAAATAAATACCAATGTTAGTATAATATATAAACAACATTGCATGCATAAATTACTTCGATGGTTGGTTTACTACAATATTATATTCATATAAATCACATAAATAAATAAAAGTATGGACGCATAAATCTTTGAGGAAAAATAAAATAATCTATTTAAAATTATATATTGTTGGAAGTTATTATATATCATTAAGTAGTGTGGTGGTCACAACACCGAATTAGTATTTCAGGACATATAAAGAAATATACCGTGTTCTGGTGTACAATAAGTAAATAGTTCATTAGATACACAGTGTAGTTCCCGGATAAGCCTTATTATAATTAAATTGTAGTTTACTCACAGATAATAGTGCTCCAATGAGATCGGTTGCGATAGGGTCTTCAACTCTAAGTTTAGGTTCATCTCTCATTTGCGGGGAGTACAGTTCTGAAGTCCGTAACATGTCGACAGCTCTCTCGATGCAGGCAACAGTTGAAGGAGGAGCGCCCTCGGTAGCCGTTGATAAGAGAGATATCACCTAGAATTTGGTAAGAAAACGATTTGTTTATTTAAGCCTTTTCTTTGCTATTCCTTCGCCAGGAATTTTTATTCATTTTCAGTGATGGATTAGTGCAAGTGTTCGGTAATAAATTAAACAAGACAATATTATTATACAGAGCACACGATTCGTTTGTTTCGATTGGAAGATTGGGGCTTAGTAACGGTGGTCTGATAATGGAGACAGATTGAGAATATAACTCTTTTCACTTTCTTATTTTAGTTTACTATTAGAGCGTATTCTATTAGCCTGTAATATGTTGATTGTAGAGATATGCTACTTGCAAAATTTATTTTCTATTTTTCTTTAGATACTTTTTCTTTTAGTATTGTGTATATGTTTATCACTGTTGAGATTGATAACACGCGTAAGAGCAATATTCAAAATCACGTATTAATATTTTCGACATTTTAACAGGAGGAAGATATAATTGAGTATTCTATTTAGGGTTAAGGATAAGGTTTATGGAATACATTTTTGCGACTCATTTCTCGATTTGTATTGTGATTCTTTTGATGATACTTCATGAGCATTGGATAAAATATACGACGACTTTTATAAATGCGCGGTGTTACTAAAGTTACTGTTACGCATTTTTTCAGTCTCTTAGACGATATGTAAAAATAATTTGGTTAGAGTGACTTGTAGTTAATAAATTTTTAAGTACAGAGGTAGAACAATCGAAAAGTTTATTTGTTATGATGACATCGTTAGAAGCCACAGTTTACCTTAGTGATGGGAGCTTCCAATGGTAGCCCTTGCAACTTTGCTAGCGAAGTGCGTCGCAGACCGTCAGATGCAACTGAACGAACATCGAGTGAGCCTCGCCTGATGGAGTGAAGAGAGCCTCGGCCACGATCATTCTCTATTGCGTTAGTGGGCTCGCAGACGAATACTATGTGAGATGGGCTTCTGGAATTTCAGAAATTTCAAAATGTGTAGAAATGTCTCCAATATTTGGATTTTTTTTGATCTAGAACATCTAAACGTTTGACCATCGATACAAGTTCTAATTACAAAATTGTCAAGCAGATTTGAATTAATTGTAACATTTTATTATTTTTGTATTGGGTAGAGTATTAAAAACTTGAAGCAGCGGATCAGAGCCCACAAACACAACGTGAAAATGCATTGAACGACTATTCAAGAAATAAATATACTTGAAGAAAATATACAAGAAATAAATATATTAAATGTAGTCTGTATTTAATTATAATAAAAAAACGGTACAGTATCTGTTCAGCCTTTGTTCTTTTTTTTTAATACTGAAACAGAGTTTTCCCTATTTTCAGGCTTTATTGTCTTGTTACTATAATTAAATTAATTACGGTGGAATGTTGATTTCTGTGTAGTAGGATTAAGTAGGATTAAGAAAATGCAGTACCACTACCGCTACATACGTACATCTCGTGGGTGTCGTAAGAGCCGACTAAGGGAGTAAACTACGCAGTACAACAGCACTGCAAAGAGAAGGAAAACTTGACACAAACCCCATACCAATCAGTCTGGCCACTGTGTCCAGCAAGGGTGTTGACGTGATGTGATGTTCACTTTGAGCAATCACTAGTACATTATATAAATAACCTTACTTGGTTAGCCCCACGGCAGCTCCTCGGCATGGCAGCATTATAGGGTCCGGACCAGCTCGGCGTCGAAGCATTACTGGCGCCTCCCATTCTCTTGCACCGCTCGTTGCCTGTCTTAGTGCCTCACCGCCTGCTGTTTCTGATATTAGTTTAGGACCCTCGTCTTGGCGCCAGCCGAGAACTCGACACCATGATTTGTTTGCTAGCTGTTGATCATGGAACATGTTATTTTATTTGGTATTCATTTGTTTCAAGCGTAGGTATATTTTTCTAGAAAATTCGTTGGATAAACAAAATAACCAAAGTATAAGGATACTTTGTTTTTTTTGTTGATTTATTACATTTTTCTATTTTTGGTCAGCTTTTTTGGTTTAGCCCCACTGTGCTGCAGGTGGAAAGCCGGTCTTAAAAGTCTTTCAAAAGATATTCAATTCCGCAATACTCGGCGGGAAGCCGTCCGACGCATGAGTTAGGGGTGTAGTGGTGCTTTTCTTCTTAAAGGGTGATAACACCCTGTTTGAGAATTATAGACCCATCTCTATTCTGAGTCATGTCTATAGGATTTGACGACTTCCAGCCTCCCGAACAAGCCGATTTCCAAAAAGGCTTTAGTACCATAGACCTTATGCATACGCTACGCTACCTTTGACTATGCTTGGCGTTTGTGAAAAGGTTTTGATTCAATCTAAACTTAGGCTGTGCAACAGTCTTTCCAGCGGTGCCAAACCGACTATCGGTATATAGAAGTGTTGAAGTGTTTGTACGAGAATGATACTATATCATGTTTTTGACCAGTGTGTGTTGCCAGTGATGACTTATGGCACAGAGACATGGGCGTTTACAATGGGCCTTTTAAGGAGGCTCAGCGCAGGACCGGTTGTTGTGGAAAGCCTTGGGGAAGGCCTATGTCCAGCAGTGGACGTCTTTCGACTGAGATGGAGGTGATGATATTATAGAATGCAATTTAAAAGTTAAATTGTTTATTTTTTCCTATTATCTTAAACCAGTATAACATCGTGAATGAAAACTAAATGTTATAATCAAATAAACCTTTAAAGAGAAAATTGTGATCCATTTAAATATAGAAACCAGTGGAGTATCAGTAAAGTTTGAGGAATCAAGATTTAAAACTGCATATCAGCTACGCTGAAATCGTAGAAGCCAATATACTCGTATACTCGTATGTAGTAAAAATAAAGTTACTAACAAGAATCCTCTGCTGATCATCAGTAACAGCGACAAGGTCTCGGCAACGATCAGCAGCAGCGGCGAGGGCAGCCACAGCGGCGACTTGAGCCCGCGAAGTAGCCCCAGCTGCCCGGGACTGCAGCACTTCTGCACACCACGCCGTACCGCTTACTGTTTCCACCATCACCTATTGACACGAGGAGTAGATGAGGTACATTAATTTCATGGATATGATGTTAGAGTAAAGATGAATTTATTAGAATTTGTATCGCAGCGATAGGTATGTAATAATTCTGTCAAATGAATTAATAAATAGTAATATAGTAATATAGTAATATATGTCCAGCAGTGGACTGCGATAGGCTGATGATGATGATGATGATGAATATAATAAATAGTATATATGTAATTAATAAAAAGTAATATATGTATAATATGTATGTATTTACAAAAAAAAGTATAATATATGTATTTATTTCAGTTGTCTAGTACCCATAGTACAAGCTCTGCTTAGTTTGGGACTAGATGGCGTTGTGTGAATGTGGTAGAATATTATTATTATAATGGAGCTACATATAATACAGAGCATAAATGTGTATTGAGTTAAACGTGAAGGTAAGACGCTCGAACTGTGACCTACTGTACCACGCTGGCCAGTCAGGTATGTATAAGGTTTGTTTCAAGTTTTCCTTCTCTTTGCAGTGCTGTTGTCCTGTTAGAATGTGGAACAATGAATAATCTAGAATTGAATTACAATACGTCTTAACATATATAGGGATATAAAAAGTTCCCTCGAAGCTCATTACTGAAGAGGCAAGGTGCGCGGTTGAGTGCGCTCCAAGTTGAGCGCTTTGTTTCAGCACGAGTGGTTCACTCAAGTACGTGGCATTGTCTAACATCTGATACTAAAGTCGAAGGATACGCTACAAACTTTAGCCTTTTTATTTTTGTTTTAGTTACTAAGCAATCTGTGTTCGGTCTTAGGGTTCAACTTCATCGAAAAATATTATTTCTTTGTGTTTTTTAAAAGGCTTTAAATAGACTACAGAATTATTTATTTTTTACTTATAAGAAAATAAACTCCTAGCAAATAACTGCTGGTGTTTAAATTATTTGATGCGCTAAATGTGTCAAATCCGGCACAATTGCACACAATATATGCGACTGCACGGATAGCGTAGTGGTTTAAGCGGTCGCCACGCCGCTTACTACTACGCTGAGTGTTGTGGGTCCGATCCCCACATGGGACGACACTTTGTGTGATCGACAAATTGTTGTTCTGTGTCTGGGTGTTCCTAGTGTCCGTTTCATGTATGTTTGTAAAGTCTCCGCGACACAGGATATATTTCTAATTCAGGAGTTGTCTTTAAAAAAAAACAATACGCCAAATGACTAAGAGGAAAATAATGCGGGGGACTGAATATCAGTGCGTTGAATATACCTGTAATTTAGGCATATTATGCAAAGTTAATCAAGCACTTACTATTACTGTTACTTTACTGTTATTATTACTGTTACTTTTAATAAAGTAACAGTAATATTCAGGAGCTACAAATCAGTTTGCAGTATGTTATCGGATCACATAAATATTTTAGTACCTCGGTTTCTTATTACTATATATTCGTTTTGAATTGAAATACTAGGTAGTTGTTGTATTTGTAGTGGTAAAATTATTCAAGTCTTACGGTATCAAATTTCAGTTAATTACTTTATTAAATTATGTCAATATTTGTACTAAGTTATTAAACAAATAATTTCAAACACAAAAAAATCAAGGCAGTCAATAAGCGGGAATTAAAAGATCATGTTTTAAAACGTTTCTGCGAAGATTAAATTTCATAATAAATAATAGAGATAGATATGGTAAGACATAACATGGTATTTTATGAATGCGTAAAGAATAACCTATATCCAGAAAGGATTTATCATGACAGGCAACAAGTAGGCCAAGTGGTTTTTAAAATGCGAAGGTTTCTTGTTTGTGGTTTATAAAAAAGAAATCATCTTTATCCCTAAGAACATAATAATTTACTCACGCTATGCTAGTGGATAATTTTAAGATTGAGTGAGTAAAAAGATTGCAAATAAATGATTGCAATCACTAAAATAATCTATCTATATAATCTTCTAAACAATCTAAGCTATTTTATGCGTTTCTCAATAACTTTTTAAGCTTCATGAGTGCTGGTGAAATCTAGAAACCGAACGTAAACACATTTAACAAAGCTATGAAATTAAAACCACGAAGTACTGTTCCTGCACCGCAATATGAGTTCTTGTAACAATTATATGTATATATCCAATTTCCCAACATCAATCTTTAAGACACGGTTGGAGGATCCCCTCTTTATGTTAAAAGGACATAACAGCAGCAGCATAAATTATGTTAATAATTTTTCTTTTTATAAATCGAATGGAATTTTCGAATTCTTTTTTTGCTAAGGTAAAACAGATATGCCCTACTTATGTCATCCAGCACTTTACTGATTCGATTTGATTTCTATTTATGATTTAAACTCGTTATTACATTCAAACCTGAACCAAAATGTAAATATACTGCCGAACTAAATCAAATAAAAGTCACACCGGATTGCATGTGAATGTTTTTCGTGTCGCCAATATTGATAGGTACATCGGTGGGTTTTGTATTTGGTCTTGCTTTTTTTTTAAATTTTAGATTTAAAATTTTCAATTCGATTTTCTACTGGTTTTCTATGAGACACTATAAATGCAAATGGGAGTTTGTTTAGATGTTATGATTTAAGAAAAAAACCTTTTGGTACCTTCAACCTTCAACAAATAATTTCAATTTCGAGCAAAATCATTAATGTGATCAAAACGCTAAAGCTAACGATATCATTAACGCGAGTAAAACCATAAAGGCGAAGGACACTATAGGCAAATACATAGGTAATTTATAAAAATAATTAAAAAACAACACACTTTTTTGCATACTGAAGCTGCCAGCGAAATTTATCCACAAAGGAATAGACCATAGAACTCGTTCTTAGTTCTGTGGGTTAGATGTTATAAATCTATGGTTGAAGAACATTGAGCATTGTTTCTTATTAGGATTCACAGGCACTGAGAGGCTTGCTAATAATATTTGTGAATACGGGTGTTATTGCTTTGTTAGATATAAAGTTTGAAGAACAAAGGATATAATGAATAAACTTACTCGGTTGAATCCCGCATCGAGGTAGGCCAGTACTGCAAAGTCGTCCTTCAGGTAGAGACTGTAACAAAGAAACTTCATCAAGTATTGTACGATGCGAATCTCTTGTACGACTAACTTTAGCATTTATACATATATGTTGTACTACCTAGTACCTAGCTTTGCATATATTTTTTATTATGGGTTGAAGTTTCTTACGAATTTTGACCTGTTTTGTTTAAAATGCCTTACAAATCAAAATAATCATAAAATTATTTAGTTTTGTAAATCTAAATAATTTTATGATTCTTGTGATTTGTCTTAAATATTAACTTGTTTCATGTTTTTATTTATTTTTGGTAGGTTTGTCTGAATTAATGTTTCCTGTACCTTCTACTTCGCAATTTATTTCAAATTTACATTTACGTAAGCTTTATTAATTGCAGGGTACCTAGTTTACCCGCGCATCGCAGGCTGATATTACATTGTAGGCATTACCTAAATAATATTATAATTCTTTACAACGTGGACTTAAAGGCTCAAAATTCTGTTACAATCAACCAAATTACGCAAAATTTGTATGAATTTAACATTTAGTCGTATCCCCTGAATTCTAGAATGTTTTCTCATTGAATTGTATTTTAGGATAAAGATGTTGTGCATACGAGTAGTGTTGCACATCGCAAGGAGTTATATAAGAAAACTAAGGACTGCTATTATTACTTTGCTTGAATAGGATCCAGTGGCATCAGACACATATATGACAAGATAGTAGATGATGTAATTATTCAAGTAAAGTGCTGCATATGACGTTGGTAAGTAGCAGTAGAGATCACGATACACGATCTTGACGTAGTACCTTCCTTTTTTATGATTGTTGACCGCTTAAAAACTAACCCTATACTTAATTTGGCGAATTAAAGTGTTTAAAACAATAAAGTTAACTAGTGCTACGATGCTCACACGAAAATTCAAAATTTTGTGAAAAGATTCGATATAAAAAGTAGGCAAATGTCTTTAAATATCGTTTCAGTTTTCACTTTTAGTATACTTTTTCGTTTTTTATTATACAAAAATAAAAAAGGATGAGTAACAAGCTAATAAACTTACCTACTTTGAACTTAGACGATAATACGACGTCGTGTCAACTTTAATACGTGTAAATAGGACGTAGTAGCTACATCAAAAACGCTGCTAAGAAAAAGTTACTTATTGGATAATATAATTAAGTTAAAGCGAATACAAATATTTTTGGGGCCTAGAAATTTTCCGTGAAAAAAAAAGAAAGGGAATTCTCGAAAGAGTATGTTATAAATAAATTATACAAAGATTATCTAACACTAGTAAACTTGATATTTTTAGATTTGTTTAATATTTCTGTCTATCCAGATTACAGTTGGTTTTCAGAAATCCTTTCCAATTAGGTTCTGCCAATTATTGGAGAGAGATTATCTCTTATCTTTGCTTTTCGTCATTTTAGTAAATTGAAACCATTTAAGATAATATGATCAGCTCGTGGACAAGTACAGTTAGGGTATTAAGTTATTTTTATTAATACTACCCACATTTTGCACATTGCCTACCGCCTGTCCTGGACACCTGTAGCTTAAGATATACAAGTGTGTTGCCACGTTTTGTAAACTCCTCAGAATTAAGGGGTGGAAAGAAGTAGCCTACGGTAACCTGACTCTCTTGGTGAAAAGCAACGAATTAATTGCCTAACACCGGTTTCCTGTGAGGCTAAGGCACCACTTCTGTTCGGCCCATTTGTGCCGTAGTATGGCTTCCCTACGGTAAAAGATAAATTTGTCACTTTTTTGGAGTGGAGTTATAGAATTGTGGAGGAACGGGTGTCACGTCCAGGCGCGGTGATCACTTCCCAGCACCAACCGCAGGCCGCGGCCCCACGGTTGGTGCTGGGAAGTTGTATATATGCCAATCGGCGAGAGAATTGGTAATATCGCGATACAGGATTAGCAGTTACTCCGTAGTTCGGTGTGTCTTCGTTAGATGGCGCTGTAGTATGTTTCTTTGTTTTCACCGTATGTAGAAGAATCATCTATAGATTGAATTCAAGAATTCATTTCTGCCGCCATTGGTTTCCAATGTTCTTTGCATTGTTGTGTAAAATCGTCTATAACTGGTTACCTAGTCCTTCATAATTCTATTCACGAGAAGCTCTATTCTGAGTATTTCTGAATGGCCAACGTCTCAAGTTCTCGAGAATGTTATCTTACTACATTGTCTGACTATACAATTTAGTCATAAATTGGATGGAATACATTGTAGGCTCTGGACGGTAGTCTTTACTTGAAATGTTGTTTAATTAACATTTGAAATTGATTAATAATAATAACATGTTTAACAATGTAATTAAAATGTGTGTACTGGCTTTTGCCCGCGACTTCGATATCAGACATCGTAGTAATTATATTTAGAGTTTGGAATCGATAAGTTAAAAAAAAAATAGTTCCCCATACAAACCTTTTTTATGTTAGTTTTTCAAAATTAGTAACAACGTTTTTTGTTAGTAAAGAGTTTTTACTGTAAGTTTGGAAGAAACCAAAAATTAACGAAGTTTTATATAAATTTACAACCCCCATTTTGCACCCTTAGGGGTGCAATTAAAAAAATCCTTTCTCAGTGCATACCTACGTCACCTAAGGAACATTTGTGCAAAATTTCATGCTTCTTCAGATAGTGAATCAGTCTGTCAGTTTCTGCTTTTGATATAGATATAGATAAAATAAATAAGCAGACTAATAATAATATACCTCACAGTAACACATTTCACAATAGGCCGTTTAATCCCAAACTAGGCAGAGCCTGTGCCTTGGGGACCAGACTGCTTATAAACATATTTACATATTTCTATATACATGTATCTGTGGAAGCTTATGATTCATTTATAAAATGTCTTATTTGTGCTGTAGCCGCAAGCTCCCCCAAATAAAATAAATTACTTTTTTTTTTTATGTTAGAGGGGGCCACAGACTTGTCCCACAGATTGGTTGTGCAAGGCAAAAAGTGTCTCGAAAAGCGCACATTAGTGGAGCGCCAATTATCCAAGTGATGGGGATGAACATTTTTGAAGCCGGTATTAGTCCGAATAATTCCTCGGAGCACTCTACACATACGATAGAGAATGCAGAGTAAAGCTCCATCTCTACGTAACGCCAAGGGATCGAGCCGATCGGAGATCTTCGGGCTATTGACGATTCGAGTCGCTCTTTGTTAGATGCGGTCCAGGGGGAGAAGCTGGTACTGAGGTGCCCCTGTATAGAGATGCGGCCGGAGTTGCGCCTTATAGAGCTAAAGGCGGTGGGCCGGTGTGAAATACTGCCTCAATCTATTCATCACACCGAGCTTCTTCGAGGCCATTTTGACCTTACACTCTAAGTGACCCTGAAACTAGACTTCGCTCGATATGTCGATGCCCAGGATTCCGATACTGGCAGACGCAGTTAGGGAGGTGCTCTCAAACCGAGGTGATACGACGAATGGTAACTTTCGTTGCGGTAAACGCACAAACCTGTATCAACCAAAACTTATATCATATAATTATCATAATTGTGTACAGTACAGGTAAAGGTACAGTATTAGATTAGGTACTTAAAATATTTGTAATGTGATCTAAATGAGGTCATATACATGTCGCAGTTGAACTACTGTCTTATGTTTCAACAGTGCCAATAACATAACTTAGGACTATTGTAAATGCTAGGTACATATGTATCGTTCGAGCGTCTCGTGAGTACAATCAGGTAAGTCCGGCCGGATTGTGTCCCAGCAACACTGTACCTAATGGAAGCAGATTTCTCGCCCTTTGTCACTGTCGCCTCTGTTTATCAAAACAAATTGCCTGGATTTGTAGGAAACATGTTATGTATATATTTACATAAAATTGTGTTAAAAAAAGTAAAATGTAAAAGAATAAGAAAACAGCATTTGGTTTCGATGAAAATAAATAACAAAGTATTAGTGATTATAATGCAGTCAGTCCCAGCAACACCTTTTTTTTTTTTTTTTTTCCGTGCGGAAATCCCCTCGGATACCACCTGTCGGTGGCATGTCGGACTCGAACCGACTAAAACCGCACGCCTTCGCCGGGTACTAATAGCCGGGGAACCAGGTATACCCTAGAAAAGTCCCAGCAACACCTACTTGTATAAATAAACATTAATAAATAAAAAATATCTGTGAAACATATACACTTACTTCACATAGTACTTACTTTACTTTATATAGAGATAATGTTATATTTAGACTCGTCAGAACTTAACATTTCGTAGTGGAAAAAAAGGTATCGATGTTTGCAGCCTGAGATGAATCCTAATAATATTAAAATATTAGGATAAGAAAATTGCGTAATCCGTCTTAAGATCTTCATAAAAGAATCGTTATATTTTGTTACGTATTTTTTATATTCGCTCTCGATTGAAAAAAGATGCCCTGTGGGTTCGTTATATCGTCTTAGTGCTAGAAAATATATTTATTTTGTTTATGACATTTATTATTTGAAAATGCTAAATATTTTCGTGTGATTTTAACTTCATTTCTTAGAGGAACTTGTATTTACGATTTTGACTGTGTTTGTACGGAATGAGTGCTTTGCTGTTTCGTGAGATATAGTTTTGTTACTAAATCGCTTTAAAAGTGTAATAATTGATTATTAACTGATTCTGTTTTTAAAATTTAATTTTTACATAATGTACATGAAGTTAATTTTGACAATTATATCCTAGTAGCTTTTGCCCGCGGCTCCGCCTGCGTGTATGTCGGTTGTCGCGGTAAAAAGTAGTAGTATAGTTACTCGCTGATATTGTAGCTTACTATTGGTAAAATAATCTTTAAAATTGGTTTAGTGATTTAGGCGTGAAAGCGTAACAATAAAAAAAACACTCACATTTATGATATAAGTATGGAAGGATACGTCAAAAAGTTCATCATAGATACGTCCAATTCTTGTTAATCTTTAAAGAGTTTAGTAACTAGAAATTTTGTTGTAAAACATAACGTGGAGAGAGCGTAAGAGAGTGGAGACGCAGAGTCAATCTTGCAATAAGAAATATCGTGGTATAT